TTCAGAACAGCAGAGTCGATGTTGACATAGGCAACGCAAGTCACTCGGAGCCAGTTAACCTATGAAGGAGACTTGAGTTAGAGAAGATGCTGGTAATAGTGGGTATTGGTGGGAATAGAGTAGCGTCTGGCATACATATTCTTCAACCCGCTCGGAGGAGCCAAGAAGGCCGTATTCTTCTCCATCCCAAGAGGCCATAACACTAAGAAGCAGTTAGTATGACAACTCCGTTGAAATACCATAATATAGCCATGGGAAGTTGGAAAGCCAGGTGTTAACTCTGGACTGACATTGTTCTCTTTGGTTTCCATCCCGACTCTTGAAGCTTGCCGAGCGCTTTCGCGAGTTCAACCATGACGGCGGATCCAGAATTGGGATCAACAGCACCACCAATGATCCAAGCATCCCAATGGTTTCCAACCACAATGACTTCGTCTTCCTTGGTTCCGTTGATGATTCCAATTGGGTTATAGATGGGAGCAACCTCTTCGCGCATCACATTGGACAAGGAGAGCTCAACTCCGGGAGCAGGGCCGCTAGAATATTGAACATCAAGGCCTCCTACCCACTTGGTGCGATTGATAGCGTCTGCCGATTGGCCCTGTCCATCGAGGGCGCCTAGGATTTTCTGAGCATTGGCATAGGAAATCGGGAGAGATGGGATTTTCGGGACCACGGGGCTGGTGTCCGCACGAGGCGAGTCTTCCTTCGAGGGATAGCCCGGAGTGGTAGGGTCACCAGGAGCAGTGGACAAAAACAGAACTGATCCGCGCTGTACGGATGAGGGTTGCCTGGCAGGGCCATCTGGATAAGCAACATAGCCGTTTGCCTCGGTCACATTCCCGTCGTCACCCGGGTCTGTGAAGATAACGCATCCAAGCATGCCATAATCTTGGGCATTCTTGACCTTCAATCCTCTGTTGGGGGGATCAGTCAACTCTCCAAAATTAAAGTTTGGGAAATCAAAGGGCATTCTTACCTGAAGGGGCCGCCATATCTTGCCATGGCAATTTTGCCTTTCAGATCGACGCCCAGCTCAACAAGCCTGTCAAAGTCAACTTGCTGACCGCGGCCAACGTAGACAAATTCAGCTTTTGCGTCTCCAGAAGCAGAGTAACCGTGGAAGATGGGCACGCGATTGGGGTAGCTGCTGGTGTCATCGGCGGCGAGCACATCTTCGTCAAGCTCCGCGTTCCAGACAGTGCCATCGGCGAGGGTGAGCGTCAGAGAACTGGAGACTGGGTAATTTAAATAGACGTAATACTCGGCAAGAGATGATGGGACGCCGAAGTCAGTCCACCTATCGGCAGTCCATTGAGCCATGGTCTTGTTGGTTCCGGCGATGTGCAGGCCATGGGTATAGTAGTATAGCCAATCGCTAATGGTGTTGTTGTCGAAAGAGTTCACCAAGATTGACTCTTGCTCGGTGAGGGGTGGAGGTGGTTTGCTGCTGCGTTTCGCAAGGTCCAACTGCCTCAAGTCAAACGATCGATCCATGAGATGATCGCTCACGCAAGCATCCACCACGGATGCCGAAGCGGCCAAGAGGGAGAGGGCAAGTAACTGCATGATGGGCTACCCTGGTATTCCAATGTGCGAATGAGAGGGGATGAGGAACAAGTGAGATGAAGGGAGGTTTCTCACGCTCCTTATATGTTCTCTGAGCAGAGAGCAATCGGATGCGGGGTCAGCAGCAACAGACTAGATTAGAAAAGCTGACCGCAGCTGGCCGCTCGTTCTTTGAATCATGGCATCGAATTCTCGAAGATGCCGTACACGATGACATCTCCACTGAAATGCTGGGTCGGGTTGCAGTAGTGAACCGGTGTAAACGTGTGCGGGGAAGTTGTCATGCTGGAGCAAGGAGATAAGTTACCGAGCAGGTCGGCAACCGTTCGAGGGCTTTCGAAAAACTAGAGACAGTGTGCCAAGGCAATAGGCTGGGAGCAAAACATGCGGTGGAATCATCAGCAGGAGCAATCTTCGAATGCAGGCAGATCGCCAGTGTAGCCAGCCAAGGAGGTTTGCGCCACGGAAAGGTACGCCTTTGATAACGGCTACATAGCTTCAGCAGTTGTCTGAAGGGCAATGAAATTGGTATTTCTGAACAATGCATTTCGGGCGCAAACAGAGGCGAGCCTATACGGCTTCCCCCAGCAGCTATCAATTGAATCATCCCAGGGCCTGTCATTAACCTGGGCGCTGGCCATCCACTCCTTGCGCCAGTCAAGAGTGATCATCAGCCAAGCGGTGGGATTACTTCGACATCCAAGGATGCAAATTTTGCTGCAGGATCGTTCCCTAATCGAGTTAACAGCTGCCAACACCGTGCGGGGAAACTTGGCCCAGGCAAAGATGCTCTGAATACAGAATACATTGTCATGGTGGGATGTACTGTACATAGTATGCAGCATATAGTACTCCGTACTCCGTCGTCGTGTAGGGTTATGTCCGCCGCCACCGAGCCACGGCCCTCTTCCTGGCCGGTCCATGGCGTCTGTCATATCCCACTTTCGGCGTCTCCATCGGTAAAGCGTGCCAGACGACGCTGGGCTGCCGGCATAACCGGGGAGTAGCCGAACCTCAGGAATGGCAGCAGCCTTACTCAGGGTCGGTTCACGCTTCCACGCCTCCACGCCTCCACGCCTCCACGCCTCCGCTCCCGTATCCCCAGCCTTGACTCCAAGTTCTCCACATTCCTGCCAGCAGCCTTGGTGCTATAACTACTTGGACTCTCGGAGTCTTGGCTCTGGCTTCTTGGCTCCTGAGTGCAGCCATATTGGCGAGAAGCGAGTCCGTGCTGGCTCCTCCAAATTTGTGTTCGATTCTTGTAGAACACGGGCTCAGCCAGAGAGAAGTTCACTCCGGCGGAAGGTTAAACTTTACCGCTACGGAGCGGCGATGGGAACGGTGTCCTTGCGAGGTTCAGCAGCCCAGACCACCTATCTCGAGGCTCATGATACTCTTTCCTTCTCCCAGGCGGGAACCAAGCTCGATTCTGGCTTGTCCTCCGACGACGGGCAGGGGAACCAGCCAAGCCGTTAGTACGCAACAAGGGAAAAGGCGATTCCGATATCCGTACGGAGTATTTCTAAGCAAGAATCCAAGTCAGCGTACTCCGTAGATCCAACGCTAGTCTAAGTTAAGTTAACTAGCGTTCTCGTCAACACGAGCCTCAAGCTCTTTCTCGATGCTGCCAGTTCGTGAGCGGCTCGGATAGGAAAAACACCGAACGAATTCCTGGTTATGTCAGGAACATCAAATCGACCCTGGTGAGGGGGTGGAATTGAAGATTCCAGGAGACTAGCTCTCTCTGTTAAGTCTTCAAGTTAACATACATATCCCTGCATCCACCTTCTTCGCCAGGCAAAGCTCATTATTTGCCCAAAAGGAAAAGAGACCCCACGCTGGGAACTCAATCGCCTTCGATACATCCACTAGTTATCAGATTGGGGCTGACCACGAACTACTGCAGGGATGAATGCCCGCAGCCCGATGGCTAGCAGCCCTTCTGAGCGCCTATTTTCTGGCTGATGGCTGGCATTTTACCCCGCAAAGCGCGGGAAATACCAAATCGCACGTCATCGATGGTTCTATTTGTGGCGCTCGTCTCGATCCGCCAGTCTGGATCGTGGCATCACCTTTGATTATCAACACTCGGCTACTGGTGCGATTTTTTGTGGCCCTGAACTACGCCGCCACAACTCACCCGAGTCGTTAAAGGCAAGCGACATGAACCTTGATTCCCCTGGGAGATTCGACCTTGACGGTTACACACGGGCGTCGATGCATCTAGAAAAGGCTCTGGAAAGGCACAACATCGTCAAAAGTTCGCCATCCGAGACGCCACGTACCAAAGTAAACAATCGGTTGAGCTGGATTGGAGCTCTTCGATGACAGGCAAAGAGATACCGCTATCGGTTCGCGCACTCCTTTGCCTCGGAAATTGAATACGATTAACCGGGTTGCGACTACACGAATTACTAAAACCAGCATAAGCAAGAACGGATTTCAGCTCGGTAGGTTATCTCCAGCGAGAACTCGGATGTTATCAGAAGACCGTGACATTGGACAGCGCTTCCGCCAGCCATTCCTCCTCCTCCTCCTCCTCCTCATCCTCCTCCTCCACCTCCTCCTCCTCCTGCGCCCGCTCAATCTAGCCATCAACACTCAATGCCCCTACAGAGCCAGCTTCCTCGGTAAAGAGGGAAAAATTACCCGTTGCGGTTGCAACACGGGTACACATCGCTGAGCACGCATCGATCCCAATCACGCACTCGACAACATCCTTCGAATGCACCGGAAAGCAGCCCAATCCTTCCACAACTGTCGAAACCAGACGGTGTAAGATAGTCCAGCATAGAAGCAGTATTTCCCAGAAGTATTAGATGAATTGTGCGGTTCGATTGCTGACTTTGTGCCCACAGACACTGCCTATTCTTACATTAATTCATGGAAAGTACTAGTAGGCATAAGTTTCAACACCTGGGAAATGGGGCACTCTGCGCACTCTCCCGTGGATTCATTCGTGGAAGTTAGGTTAAGTATACAAAGCTTGTCCAAACCCCCAATCCAGAGTGTGTCAAGGCTACTCTCTCACCGCTGTCTATCTGGATATGAAGTTGGGATGGCAGCTTCTACTGTTTGAATTGACGATGAAGGCCGCCCTTGGAGAGGAGGTCATATCACCAGCAACGACCTTTAAGTTCCAAAGACGACACCCGTTGTAGATGTAGACTTGAGAATTCCCAAAATAGAATATCAATTGGTATTTGCACTGATTACGATTGGACATTAGTACATACCAAACCATTCTTTCTTCCGAGTACAGGAAGGGGAGATAAAAATAAAATAAAATAATAAAAAAAAAAATAAAAAAAAAAAATAAAATAACTAGTGGAAATCCCCCTCCCGAACGAGAGCACAAACAGCTTGATCCCCCGGATAGAGGCGGGCATACCAGCTCACGCCATGCCGTAGTTTCGCAGCCGGTCCGCTTAACTACGATCTAGATATCAGAATCAGTGAATTGCGGACCCGCGTTCGTAGAATAGGAATCCGGTACAAGCAACACTTCTCGCCTCTTGATTATGGAATGGGATGGGTTGATGAATCCCGAATGAATTGTTGGCCTTCCTCCTCTCGGTATTCCCCCTCGCGCCATCCCCCAACAAAGGGGAAAAGCTGCTGGAACAGGATTCAGCCGAGGGTACTATGTAGAACATTTCAGGAACAGAGGCTGCAGAAGGACCTGCATGGAACGTTAAAGTCCTTTGTTAGAATTTCATATATGTTTACAGCAGCTACTCTCTATCATCCATACGGGAACTATTTATTCGGGGCTCATTCGCAACTTGTCTCTTTGTACGAAGCTGCTTGCATCTCTTGAAGTTGAGCATCCGAACTAGTTACCCGTCACAGCAGCCTTGTAAGTTCCATCAACGAAACAATAAACAATGACGGTGAGAATAAAACCGCCCCCTTCTAAGAAGCTCTATCCGTTGCTCAACCCCTCTATCTAACTTTATATATATATTTATATATATCGGATACAGACAGAAACCACAGGACATTCCAACTTTTCTTCCTCTCTTTTTCCATCCCTTATCATCTCCACTGCACTCTATATATCTAGCAATAATGCGTCTCTCTATAAAGCTAAAGCTACTCAACTTATGAACCCCCAACCCCCAACCCCCAACCGCCCCCCAGCTTCCCCAGCTTCCTTGCTCACACACTCGCACCAGACGCGACTGCAGCAACTGTCTTCGGATCCGTTTTCCCCTCCCAAATTTCCTTAGTCGTCTGCAGGATGCTGGACCAGTCGTCGAAGACGGTGTAGGGGATTTTCTCGCGTTGACAGTATGTTACTAGGTCTGAATATCGTATGTCAGCGGGGGTGAGAGCCCACTTTATATGGGAGCTAGGATGCAAGGCCAAATGGCCAAGATGTGTGGCGATGATAGAACGCAGAGATACGTAGTTATGATGGGGACTTACCTCTCCCTTTTTTTGCGAAAAGTAAATCGGTCTGCGACGCTGCTGATAGGTCCGAAACCCCATCGCCGGCATAGAGGAGCGTGGGCCGCTCACCTGCTGGAAGCGCGGCATACGGCTTGATTTCGAGGGATTTGTCATGGCCGAAGTGGCTAACGAGTTTGCATCAAAATCGATTAGTCAATTTTCCTTTCCGGAACTTGATATTGTCCGAACACCTCCGTTGTCTTCCCAGATCAGAATATATACATAATTAGAAACTCCCTTACCTATCATCGTGATAGACAATTTGCCACCCGCCTTCAGAATTGATATCCTTTCCATCCCTGCTCGCAACCTGGTTGGCAACAATCTGGATATTATCCGGCTCGTGACCGAGGAGCTTGACGAGCAATGCGCGGATGACGGGCACCATGCCAGAGGACAGGATAACGATGGGAACATTGTGGTCCCGCGCCCAGTTGTAGAACGCTGTGAAATGCGGGTCCAGCTCCATGTTTTCGAGTAGGATGCGAATGCATTCGTTGAAGGGAGTCTTGACGCTGTCGAGCATCTCGCGGAATGAATCCCTGGACATAGTGTGTTAGTGGATTTCAGTGATTTCTTTCTGGGATGGGAGGAGAGGAACATACCGGAACGTGATTTTATTTTCGAGGACGTCTATATTGCCCTGTCGACGCTTTTCTTGACCATAGCCCAGATTATCGGTCTATTTCAAGCGTGTTAGCAAATCTTCCATTTTCTCCGCACGCAAGCGGGCGATCCATCTTTATCTCCTAATATCTCCCCATGTCGAAGGTCAAGATCTTTAACACCCTTGCCAGAAGAGCATTGGTTAAAAGAGGAGGCAAGAAGAGGAGCTACAATGATAAATCCATATATCATACCATGAAATCATTGCCTATACACCACCATCGGAACAAACAGGAAAAAGAGGCAGAGCATCGTATTAGAAATCATTCCCGTTATTCTTCTCCCGCGTTCTTAGGTTATATGCAACGAAACAAAACGAGCTCTTCAACCCAACCAGAGCTACAACCCCACCCCACACAACAGGATTGACAGAACCCGCAAATGGTAAGAAAGCGGGAATAATATTGTGGAGTGGGCATGTGGAGGAGACAGTGAGAGGAAACATACTATCTTTGATGGTGATGGTGCCATCGAAGTCAGTGAAGAAGATGATCTTCGGCTTCGTTTTCATGGCTGGCAACTCAATCGAACCCATTGTGGCCGGCGGGGATGAGCAGAGCTATCTCTCGACTGTTATTATGGGGAACGTTGCAGATAGGGCACTCGGCCTTTCAAATCAGGAATCCCTTGGGAAAGGAGGATTTGGTTGTCGACAAATAAAGACTAAAATTTCGAGGTCGGTTAGTTTTAAATTTTCTAGATCCAGATGGAAAGAAAACTCAACCCGCAACATCTCACTCATCATCCTTCGATTGGGGAAAACAGATTTGGGGGAAAACGGCAACCTGATACCACACACCAAGCACTCTCATCACGACAAGTGGTATCAGAGTGTTTTGGTATGTACATATCGGTGGTTGACAGAGGGCATTGGATCCATTGGTTCCTTGCAACAAACTGGTAGTTATGTATAGGTGGGATTATGAAATCCACCCAACCTTACGTACCTGACTGGGAGCAAACTAACGCAAACACAGAGTGCAACAAAATAACTCAATGAAGCGAAGGAGTAGCCCGATGGTTGGTGAAAGAACAACAAATTCAGGAGAATAGCAAAAACTCCGCTGTGGAGTAGATTAGATAAGCCCCTCCACTCTGCACTCTACCGCTTGGCGCGGGATGTCTGTGGTGTGTTTGGGCGCGATGTGGAGGGTGTTGTATGCATTTGTTTTGATATGATTTTTGAATACAGAGGTGGCTCAGAACTTGGATGAGGGACGAAGTAAATGCTAGTATGGATGGCTGCGCACGCATCGCAGCAGCGAGTATACTGCGCCGCCATGCTAATAAAAAAGATGCACTTTCACGAAACTCCCTATGCTCCTGATCTCCCCACAGCGAGAGAGAAATGAGAGAAAACGGTCTTACAAACAGGCTGCCAACCCAGGACCATCTATCTACCCCATGACCATTCACCGCCCATGCTACCGCCATGCTCGCGCAAGAAAAAAAAAAGAAAAAAACAACCACCAGCTGGACTGACCAATCCATTGCATCCATCCAGCGTGTTTAGAAAAGAAAAAACAATGAGAAGAAACAGCAAATAAATACAGATGAGATAATTGACAAAAAGTAAATATATATATATATATATATATATCAATAACAACACATAAAAAATTTGGGATTGAAGGGAAAGATATATAAGTCACAAAGCTGTTCGGGGCCCCATTTCCTGCATACACATGCATTGGCAATGTTAAATGGAAGTAAAACTGAACTCCAGCCCCCCTGCCGCTGCCCTCCGGCTTTCTGTTTGGGTTAGGGATGCAAACGGGGGCATGGCATATATATGTACTGGTATATATTCTCTCTGTATACGACGCATTCGTGGAGCTGTTTTTTCCTCTGCCCTGTCTCTGCTCTGATCCGCGGGATCAGCCGGCTACGGTTTAGAGTATTGCTTTATGGATCGAGGAAGGATAGGAGGTTGGACAGCTAGGAGGCAGACGTGAGTGGGTTAAGTTGTGGTTAGGGCGCTTGGGCCTTCGGGCGACTGTCTGTGGCCGGTCTGCCGGTCTGTCTTTTTTGTAACTTTTATTATTCTCATTCTTTCGTTTTCCTCTTTTTTTTTTTTTTTTTCATTTTTTTCGAGTTTCTTTCTTGTGGTCGAGGAGAGGAAGAGAAAGAGGGATATACCCCAAACCCTTTTCTCGAAGACTCGGAGAAACGGTGAAATAGGGCCCTTCGAATCGGCAATGGGGAAGGTAGGTGGGTAGGAAGGAGGGATGTTGGCTATATCTATGTTTGTCCGGCCTCCACCGCATCCATACGGGAAAAGGGAATGTCCGTTAGACGCATTTCTGTTTCGTGGAATGCTCGAGCATATGTATGTAGATATATGTATATGTGTATGCCAAACACGTGACGAACGGGGGATGGGAGGCATATTCAATATTCATACATTCATACATATCATAGACAAAGAGGGAGAAAATATATTATTGTCGATCCTGCCGCCCGCGCGCTCTCCCTTTTAGCGTCCCCCACCGAACGATAATTCACCCCTCAACCTCGCGAAGCACCGGTACATGAATGAGATGTAACATGTTTGTCGCCGAAAACAAAATCTAATTGTTTGTGAGGGACGCGCCGGTATGGCGACGGAAAACCATAAAATTATCATCCACTAGGGTTATCGTTTTCACAGGGCATCGTTGTGTCCGCTTGCTTGCCCTTTCCTTTATCTCCCAAATTTGAACCTGGGGTTGAGTTCTGGCTCTCGTTTCCATTCTGCTTTGCCGTAGTAGTGGAGGACGACCCTTCGTCTTCATACAGGTGGTGTTTCTCGATATAATCTATGACGGGGCTGGGGATTAGGTAGCGGACGCTCATCTCGCGGCGGAGGAAGAGGCGGATCTTCGTGCTGCTTACGTCGTTTTGGATTAATTGTTGGATTACGTATATGTTTTCTTTCCAGGGCTGCAGGCTGGCAATTGCTTCGTCAATGTCTGTGCCGGCACGCTCGACAATGAAGCTCTATATGTATATAAACAACTATGTCAGTCTAGGGATATTCCCCTCAAGAATGTTCGAAAAAAGCCATCGGGGAGGAAGGTAAAACATATGACTCACCCCGTATCGCCCGAGGATATGATCTAAATCCTTCTCACTCCATACACCAGGCGTGGACATGGTGTGGATGAGGTCCGCACCGGCAAGTAGGGCCACCCGCACAGGCTTGCGAGTTCCTTCGCCTGTATTAATCCCATCCAGGACCGTGTTTATGTAATAGTCAAAATGATCCAGGACCTTTGCGGTGGGGATATATTCCTTCTGCATCGGCTCCCACGGATCAACCATCAGCCAGTTTGAGGTCTTCTCGACTGCTAGTTGACACATGGCAACTCTGGGTGCCGGATGAAATATGTGTCAGCGTAATTCCCGATAGACCAATTGCAGGAAAAGAGGGCAGGAAAAGGCGGTTAGAATATCGATGATGTGGAGAGGCGGGAAAAAAAAAAAAAAAAAAAAAAAAAAACATACCTGTGTACCGCGCTGGCTAGACCGGCTTTCTTATATGCATCCGACACAGGCGATAGGTACCCACCAATCAGTTCAAAATCCGTGGTGAACTTGATATAATCCGCCGCCATCTCAAACATACGCAGGTGTAGGTAGGTGGTCGGCGAGAAGGAGCCGCATGCCACCAGTAGGAGCGGAGTTTTGGACGGATCAGACATGACCTTTTTCAGTCTCTGATCTGGGAATTTGTAAGATTCCGGGTCCATGGGCGGTCCCGCGACTCCGTTGCCGTCGACATGGTCGCTGGTTAGGGCAGAGTCGACATCACCCATGGTGTTGACGGTTCTGCACGGAACTGATGGTGGAGACGGAGGGGAGGAGGGAGAAGGAGAATATGCGATCCGTCTGAGATTGGAGTCGAATTGGCATATAGAGAAACACGAGGAGAAATATGCGATTATGGTATTGTGGAATGCAGGGTAGTTTTAAGATGGGAAACGGAGAGAAAAGGGACAAATTCAAGGTTTCCTGAGGCCCGGAGAGGAGATTCTGAAGAGGGGAGAGGGAGAGGGAGCCTAATTGAATTGCTTTCCTTGCTGGTATCCTCCCCTCTCTGTAGGCTTCTGAGAAGAGCGAGGGGAAGTATTTGATTGGGGAGAGGAGATAGGGAAAAAGTGGATGGTGACTCGGTGAGAAACAAAGATTAGGTATTTATTTAGTTGGCGGGCGGGAAGAACTTCATTCAGAACATGCCGAACACCCAGACCGAGTTCAAAAGCCCATGCACGCAGAGGGCTGGATCGTGGTCAGGAGCAAGCCACCGTATATATATTTTCGTTTTCTTTTATTCTCTTTATCTTCTCTCCAGGTACCGATGCTTATATGCGGAATATAAAAAGCCGTGTTCTGTGCGGAGTACCGTTGGGAGGCAAAGAGTTACTAACAAGACGTATCAAAGGCTGTATGTGCTACTACACATGGAAATATTCAAAATCTGTCTATCTGTGCCAGATGCAACTACGAAACCCGCCACTCAGCTCCTCTTCAAGGGTCGTTTGCGAGCCAAAATCCCAAGCTAGTCTGAAGTCATGATGCGCCGTTGAAAGAATACAGCTGCAGACAGCAGCTAGCTATACATCGAGGTACACCAACTAAATCCGCAGGGGAGAGACAAGATGATGTCAGTGAGATATTAGACATCTTATTTGCCTCTTTTGGCACCTGCAACGTCAGCTCGTGAAATTCATCGGCGTTTCGTGGTCGTTGCAGGTGTTCATGATTTGATTCGTGCAGAAGAACCGGCGGAGGCTAGCACAGATGAAATTACTCAAAACGGATGCAGCGAGAGGGAGTTGAATACAAGTTCTGTTCCGCTGGTCAATCCCAAGGAGAACTAGTCCTTAGGGAAGTCCGCGATTGAAATCTAGGGCGGATCTCCTCCGTATGGTTCTTGGGGGTTTTATGTCAACAAGGTTCCTCGAAGACCAAAATTTTGCCTTCAAAGACGATTGAATTGGAATGCATCTCATATCGCGTCGCAGAAAACGGCGTGCAGTGTGACTTCTTTTAGAGTGTGTTTCCGGATGAGAAACGTTGGAACATGCTCGCGTGATACGAGGAATCGTATCAAACGCTGGATGATGGCGCCCGGCTCCTCTCGCGGGCTTAGGCTGCCCTAGTGGTAGGCATGCAGTCCACTAAGTTATAGGTATCAAAAGCGTTGAGGAACTGCCAACCACCCCTAGATGGTTGGGGCAAGTTAATAGAATCCTCCAGTCAACTCTATCATTTGTAGTCAATCTCGTCGAAGACAAAGGAGTGCAGTGCGTAATTTCTTCCTCTGAATATGTAGCTAAGGAGCTATTGGTTCCCATCCCATATCCCGGAGCTAACATACTAAATAACATTCAATATGAGTAGTTAGGTAGAACATTTTCCTTCATATTCTATATTCTGATGTGGAATTGGAAGAAAGTCTTTTCCTGGATACTAACTAGTACTTTGAAGCATGTAAGGGCGAATACTAAGCTCAGTTGGGCATCTGTAAGAGCATGGGGAATTCAAGTTTTTTATGTTGGATGGATATACAGGCCTAAGGAGAGGACGTAGAGAAATAAGAGGATTGATTCGACGGTGCCAAAAATGGCAAATGCGCTGGCAATTGAGCAGAATGAAATATATATGTACTAGGCTTTGAGGCGGGGGAAACATACAGAAAGACATCATTTTCAGCCAGCTCCAAGAACGAAATCAACCTGCTTCTGCCTCTATGATCTTTATTCTATTCTGATTTTTTAAATTTGTTATTTTTTATTTATATATATTCTTTTAACCAATATTCCTCTTGCTTCCTGCTGGCTCTTCGAGGCGGCTATCCGGGTTCTTGGCGTCCAGTTCTTATCATCATCCTCAACAACCTCAACCTCAACCACATCATACACACTTCTCCCACTTCGCCTCCCATCTTGACTCTCTAACTTCCCACCTCCAACTTCCACCTTACCGCTTCCGCCTCCAACGTCCACAGCCTTTGCTTTCTGGTCTGGCATTTCTTACTATCTCCCTAGCTAAATGATACCTTGGCCATCGCGGCCAGTTGCTCTGTTATACCACCGCTCGGTCTTTGCTCGTCATCCAACCCTCCATTCCTCGGTCTCACAGAACTGCGGATGGCGGGTTGAAGACTGGCACTGTGTGTGAACATACTTATGGCCAAGCGAATTGCTACTCCTTCTGAACAGTCTGGACTGATCCCGGAGTCTTCATCCTCTGCTCTCACTGCCTCCTCTTCCTCCTCGTCCTCCGCCTCCGTGTTTACTTCCTATCCTCTCGCTCCGGGAGCTTCTTTGGAGACTTCCACACCTTCTCCTCCTCATAGGTATTACCTCTTCATTTTCTCTTTTCTCCATTTCCCCGCTTCTTCCACCCGCAACGGCCTGATCTTCTTTTTCATTTTGTTCAATTCAATTTCTTTCCCGCCTCTCCTTCACACTTTTCTTGCCGATTGAACTATCCCATCCTTCGACTCGACTGTAGAGCGTGAGAGAACAAATAGAGGCCCTTCTTATATTGTCCCATATCTGCTGGCCTTGTCTTGCATGGGATCTTCTACCGAATTCTCTTCAAGAAAAAATAAGGAATTAAGCTTCTCTCAATGTCTCCCAGGATCACCCGCTCGGCTGCACGACTCGCGGCAGACCAACCCTCGTCGACTTATCTCCCTGCATCCTCTCCCGCTGTATCACATCCCCAACCTCCGCCACCTCCCGCACAGGCGCGGAAACGAAAAGCTCCCACTACCACGCGACCGTCGAGATCGTCAAACGACCAGGAGCAGCTGCTCCCCGCTTCCCCACCCCGGCGAACTAAAAGAGTGAAACTTGCTGGCCCATCTACCGACCTTTCAGCCCCTCTGCCCCAAAGTCGGGTTGGTGCCAGACAACAACCACCTGCAATGTCCCAACCTGGGTATGTTTTGGCTTTTCTAAATCTCCTTTGAATCCTACCATTCAACGTCTAAATGGCTTGCTAAACTATGCTGATTGGTTGTACAGCCCCTCTTCACGTCCCTCGGATGACAATTCGAAAACACCTGCCTCATCTTCCACTCCTCCTAGACAGCGCCCAAGTAGGACTAAGAAACCCCCACAAGGTATGAGCGGTGTTGTGGCAATGTCGGAATAAATCTTAGATCGGTTATAGCTATACTGATTCTGACCACCATATTTCATAGATACTCCTTCCAACCAAACTTCCCCTTCACGACGCCACAGAAAACGTCTTTCGAAACGTCAGTCGGAGTCAGATGTGGCCATGAAGGAACCCGAAGAACACCAACATGAGGAGGGGCTGGAAACGAAAGCTGAGGCGCAACCATCCCCTCTTAGTGATTCGAACGACGGCCCACATCCATCTGGTATGACAGATGATGAAGAGGGAGACACTTTCCGGAGTAATCTATTCGGCACGCGAAGCCCCATGGCCCTGCAGAGTACTCTACGAGCCTTGAGTGGCTTGATGGCTGGAACATCATCTCGACTACGTGATATCCTCAATAACCTACGGATTAAGGAGGATCCGTCGATCCAACTAATTGCTTTACAGGAACTTTCAGATCTATTGCTTGTTTCCAACGAAGATAACCTAGCGGGGCAATTTTCTCCCGACCCTTTCGTTAAGGAGCTGGTGAAGTTGATGCAACCCAGCGAGACAGGGGAAGAAAATCCTGAAATCATGCTCCTTGCATGTCGTAGCTTGGCGAACTTGATGGAAGCCCTTCGAGGATCTGTTGCAAACGTTGTGTATGGTGGTGCAGTACCGGTTCTTTGTCAGAAGCTACTGGATATACAGTTCATAGACCTTGCGGAACAAGCTCTGAGTGTATGTGTTCATTTTGCTGAGGACCCAAGGGGGGAATCCGGTTTCTTCAAAACTAACCATCTTGTAACAGACACTTGCCAAGATCTCCGTTGATTTCCCTACATCCATTGTGCGTGAAGGAGGCCTCACTGCATGTCTCTCCTACTTAGACTTCTTCCCCACAAGCACCCAGCGTACTGCTGTGATAACGGCTGCAAATTGTTGCCGCAATTTACCTCATGATTCGTTCCCTGTTATCCGGGATGTCATGCCAACATTACTCAATGTCCTTTCCAGCAATGACCAAAAGGTCGTAGAACAGGGATGTCTGTGTGTTTCTCGGGTGGTTGAAAGTTTCAAATATAAACCAGAGAAGCTGGAGCAATTGATTGAACCCGACATGTTAAAGGCTATTCTTCGGCTCCTTCTACCTGGCACCACGAACTTGATCGGGCCTCATATACATACCCTATTCCTCCGCGTGCTAGCCATCACTGCCAGATCCAGTCCGCACTTGTCGGTTGAGCTTCTGAGAATGAATGTGGTTGATACATTGTACCAAATGCTGACGGGGGTCTCTCCCCCTTCCGAGACTGGTGGTCCGATCAAAATCGATAGTGTGCACATCATGCAAGCTCTGATCCATCGCCCACGAGAGCAGATATTTGAGACGTTGAATGTTATCTGCGAGCTTCTCCCTGGTGTTCCGAACGAGGAGCTAGCCCTTTCCGACCATCATCTGCAAGCGAGTTTTGAAAGCGATATTTTTCCACTTTCCAAGACGCCTCGAGCAAAGACATCGGCCGAGCAAAGAGTGAAACTCCTCAAAGGCTGCAAACAAGAGATTAAGCGTTTCGCTACAATATTACTACCAACACTAACAGACGCTTATTCTAGTACGGTGAATCTGTCAGTGAGGCAAAAGGTGCTTATGGCGCAGTTGAAAATGCTTCAGAATCTTGATTCTCAAATTATCGAGGATGCCCTACGCACTGTTCCATATGCCTCATTTTTGGCTGCTATTCTGTCACAGAAGGACCATCTGTCTCTTGTTGCCCTGGCTCTACAGTGTGCGGAACTGCTCTTTGAGCGCCTCAAAGACATTTATCAATACCAGTTTCATCGCGAAGGGGTAATCACCGAAATCACAAAACTTGCCGAAACTCCGCTGTCTGTTAAACCTGACCGTCATCAAGATTCCAAACCCGAAGTAGATCTTGAAAATGGGCGTTCCTCCGACAAGAGCCATGAGAGTTCCGAGGATGAGGAAGAAAAGGATCGAGGTATGAATCATGACGAGGAGAGCCAGGATGATGAGGATGATGAGGATGATGAGGATCACGACGAGGACAACGATGAAATGTCCGAATCAGATAGCTCTTCATCCGTATCAGGTGGGCCCATTTCTCGAACGGCTGACTCGGCGCTCCACGATTTTGTCACTTGCAGCGCCGGGAGATTTCTCCGAATATATGATGGTAGCAAGGGCAAAGGCATGCATGATAAAGCCCTAGAAATTCTTCAGTCTCTACAGGCACTTGTCGCAGATATCAAAGCCTGTTACAGCAACGTGAAACCTTCCAATGGCTATGCGCTGTTCCAAAGATTGGCAACCTACTTCGATGGGGATGCGCTTGAAAGTATTACAAGTTCTGAACTACTTAGCTCGGGTATCATTCATGTTTTGCTGGATGTGATTAACAAGAAGGATGAAGGCGAGACAGGAATTAATGGTCCCAATACTCTAAATTTCATATCAGCTAATTCTCTATCTTCTGCAGCACCCGGAAAAGATGCCAGAATAGATTTTCTCCGAGCATTCATGGAATCGGATATCTCAACGGCGACCGTTAGCAAAACCGGCTCGCCTACGACCCCCTTCAGTGTTTTGATCCATAAACTCCATGACCTTCTCAGCCGAACGGAACACTTTGAAGTAATCACTGTCAACCACAGCTCTCTGGACAACAGGAACGCGACATCCATGCTTTCGAAACAACTGCGACTCCGCCTGATTGCTGATGATGAGTCCGATGTTCCTAAACCATATAAAAATATAATGGTATCGATCCACGCAATTGCAAATTTTAAAGCTCTTGACGACTACCTTCGTCCTCGAATCAGCCTGTCTGAACGTCCCAGAGGTTCACGGAATCGTGACACTATATTTTCTCAGCTCTCTAGTTCCTCTAGGCCTAGAGACACCCCTGGAAGTGGACCTGAGACAACATACTCTGGAGGGCTCGAGCCACCTACTTTACCTCCCCCGCCGCCACAGCCAGACACCTCCTCCAGAAGCACACGAGTGCCAGATAGATCCAAGCCTCAGTCTTCCACGCAGACAGCGTCATCTGGAGGTTCTGAGGAGCCGTCTCGCCGAACGAGGCGCCCAAATCGGCATCAACCACCACCTCCCGACGATGAAACAGATGGCACTGATGAGCCCCTAGAATGCGCTGATGAGAGACATCTGACTGATGATGATGAAGGGGAAGAAGAGGATGATGCGTTGGATGCCATTGTTGATGACCTCGAAGATGATCTCTCTGATGAAGAAGTTTCAGATCCGACGGCTGTTAACTTGGAGGTTGCTGCGACTGGGAAAGTAACTGCGCATAAAGAAGACGGAACCAGGATTGCAACACCACAACAGTCAACCCCGACGGGGCGGCCATCATCTTCTGCCCCGACGTCTAGCCAATCTCTAGGTGGTTCTTTGGCATTTGCTGGTCGGCCATTCTCTTATGCCGCCGCAATTGCTTCTATCCCGCAGGACTGGCACATCGAATTCCGTGTTGATGACAAACAAATCTCCCATGAGACGACGGTGTATCGAGCAATTCACCATAATAGAAAAAATTTGAGCGATTCTCTCTCGCGTAATGTGTGGTCCATAGTTCATACGATCAAGTACAAGCGCGTTCAAGGACCCCCGCCGCCGGAACCGTCCGCGTTGAGCCCAACTTCTAGCAATCTATCATTAGAGAAGTATTCCGGTGGAATGCCAGAGTCCCTGAGTCAGAATCCAACGACGGCATCCATCCTTAGGCTGCTTGGGGTTCTACATGGAATGAACGCCCAGCTGGACGACATCTTAGCAGAGAGCAACTGTCAGATTAGAGTTGTTAAAGAACCTCTCTCACAGTTTCTTAATACGAAGCTTACAGCCAAGCTCAACCGACAACTCGAAGAACCATTGATCGTGGCTAGTAGCTGCCTCCCCAGTTGGAGCGAGGATCTTGCGCGCCATTTTCCATTCCTCTTCCCATTCGAAACTCGACACCTCTTCCTACAATCAACATCCTTCGGCTACGCACGCTCCATGGTGCGATGGCAAGGGTCGCAGTCCGATGAAAATCGACGAGACCAGCGACGTGATGATCGCCCGTATGCAGGGCGTCTACAGCGACAGAAAGTCCGCATCTCCCGATCTCGCATCCTAGATTCGGCCATGAAGGTTATGGAGTTGTACGGCTCGTCGCCCAGCGTTCTTGAAGTCGAGTACTTTGACGAAGTTGGCACGGGTCTCGGCCCGACGCTGGAGTTCTACTCAACCGTTTCAAGAGAGTTTTCGCGGAAGAAGCTCAAGCTATGGCGAGAACATAATTCTCATGACAAGAGCGATTTTGTCTTCAACAAACTGGGTCTCTTCCCCGCGCCTATGAGTCGCGAGCAGGTATCATCGGAGGCGGGTAAGAAACAGCTTCAATATTTTAAGGGACTCGGCAAATTCGTCGCTCGATCGATGTTAGATTCAAGAATTATTGATATCGCGTTCAACCCGATATTCTTCCGCATTGGCGGCGTGACTCCATCAGCTGTGATCCCAACTGTTACGACCATCAAGGCTGTGGATCCTGAACTCGCCAACTCACTCATGCTCTTGAAACGATTCACGGCCGCACAGGCTGCCATAAATGCTGATGATTCTCTTAGTGCTGATGGAAAAGCTCGAGCGCTAGATGAGCTTACTGTCGACGGCGTTCGGGTTGAGGATTTGAGCTTGGACTTCACGCTGCCAGGGTACCCATCGATCCAAATGATTCCACATGGTTCCTCTATTGCCGTGACGATGGATAACGTAGGGTCGTATATCAGCAAAGTCATCGATATGACGCTGGGCAGTGGCGTCCAGGCGCAGATCGATGCGTTCCGTGCTGGATTCTCACAGGTGTTCCCTTACTCGTCCCTTCAGTCATTTACGCCCGACGAGCTCGTGATGTTGTTTGGGCAAGTTGAGGAGGATTGGTCAATTGAGAGTATGTTCATTCTACTTTTGTGCCTGCCTTTAGAATTACTAACTTTGTTATTTGTAGCGTTGATGGACTCGATGAAAGCAGACCACGGCTTCAACATGGACAGCAAAAGCGTGCGCAATTTATTACACGTCATGAGCGAATTTACAAAGCAAGAGCGTCGCGACTTTTTGCAATTCGTCACAGGTAGCCCCAAGCTTCCAATTGGAGGTAAGTCAAATAACGAGCAACTTCCCTTCTCCCTTGCCTGTCCACCACTTTCTTCCGTTTGTGATAAATTTTACGAATTCTCATCTGCTAACCATCCACTCCTCAGGCTTCAAAAGTCTAACTCCAATGTTCACCGTCGTCTGCCGCCCAAGCGACCCTCCGTATATGCCGGATGATTATCTTCCCAGCGTAATGACATGCGTCAACTACCTCAAATTGCCCGATTATTCCACCATCGACATCCTCCGTCAACGGCTCAATGTTGCTATCCATGAGGGCCAGGGGGCATTTCATCTGTCTTAAGTCGTTTTTTTTCGCTTGCAGGAGTACAACACCAGGTCTAACGTATGTTGTGTTGTGCTGGCAATGGTTTTGTTTTGCTGTGCCTTGGTTCTTCTACCCATCAGCCTTCCATATCCTCTTGCAAAATGCTAAAACTTTACGGTCTTCTTTCTCCCACGATTTATTTCTCTGCATAATTCCCTAGATTCCATATCTGTCTCTTTTTCCCCCCTTTTTATTCCCCTCCTGCCCCCACCCCAATTAAAATTTTTTATTTTATTTTATTCGTTTTTTTGCGATTCGAAATATTTCATTAACTAAAATCTTAAATATCTTCTCATTTTGTTTTTTGTTACTCGCTATCCATTGCATTCATCTGCATGATGACTTCACTTCATTCACACAAAGGCTGGGTTCGATATTAGTTTACTTTTCCTTTCTTTACACATTCTCATGTTCATTTCCCTTCGATTTATAATGCCTTCTCCACGATCCTATTTCACATTTTGTTCCGCTTTTTCACACGCCCTCCCCACCCTCCCTTTTTGTTTCTTCCCTAAAAAATGCGAGGTCTGCTAGTTTTGAGTTTGGAGCAGGTGACGGGCGCGATGAATGTTGTGCTGGCTCTGTTTGGGGTGGTTGATGTTAATACCAGAACTGGGTTCAGCCTGTCCTACAATTCTACACCACGGGGGCAGCAGAGGCAGGAAAATGAAATGTGATGGTGATGGGTGATGGATAATTCTAAATACGAAGATATGTCTTGTGTGAGCTGGAAGCGATGGATGGAGATTTGGTGGAATTTTGTTCGTTTCTGATCTTCTCCCTGCGTTCTTCTATTCCCTCCCATTCTAAACATGGGCCTGGCTCAGCTCGGATCAGACAAATCGGCGTTTAAAGGGGTTTGATTTCTGCTATTTTACTTGCGTTTTTAATACCTTGTTTTTGTACTTTTTCTCCACAGTATCGAAACGAAAAGCGAGATAATTCAAAATAATGTTTCCATCAACACTTCTTGGTCCATTTTGCCTTACGGACTGATGCCCCTTTCTCAATCACATGACAAATCGCTTCTAACTTCCTAAGGCGGTGGTCCATGACAGAAAAGGCCATCTATGTACAGTACGTGCAGCCTTTCAATGTTCAAGTTATTTGCGCCGTAAACCATCTCCCCTCGCTCCAGACGCCATTCGCGGCTTGTTGACAAACGGGTGGTAAAGGGATTTTGATATTCTAGCTTCCAGCTCCTTCGTGGGAGCTGCAGACAGCACAAGGACAAAAGCAGACGGGAAGAACAACAAGCCCCAGTCACCAGCGTCCTCGTCACATCCCCACCGTCCCCATCTTTGCAACGCGAGGTGGACGTACAGAGTTAAATATACATCTATACCACCTCAATTGGCATCGAGACCAGTCATACGAATTTCCTAAGTTGTTGCCTGTTTGGTGCGCGGCCGCATTTCTCCTCATGCGATTGACCCTTTGAGGAGCGAACAGGTATACACCGCGGCCGTTCCTGCGATATATCCAAATCTAATACCGTACTCCTTTTGCATACAGGGCTCTGACTACACCATATCTATAACTCGAGCTACAAAATATCACCTTTTTCCACAACTTTTCGCCTTCGCATTACCGGCATTGCGCGCGGGAAATTCAGAGGCGGAACTACCCACGACCTGGAAGCTGGCAAACACAGACCATCCCCACCCACAAATCTCATAAATCAAGGAGGGATAAAAGATAATGGATGAATTTGCCCAAACCCGCGGCGTCGACGATCTCTTTGATGATGAAATCGTCCCCCTTCCTGCCGAGGAAGTCGAGATCGAATACCACTCCGAACTCGAACCGGAACATGTGGATCGTGAATCCACACATCAACGACCGGCTCCCTCTCATCCACGACCACCTTCACAACCACTGGCGTCACGGTCACCAGAAAAGCAACAGCAGCAACATCAACAACAACAACAACGTGGTCGTGAATCGCCGTCTCACGCTGAGGCACACGTACCGGCCCCTCAGGAGAGTAATGGTGCCGCTCAGTATATAAATGGCAATAATCATCGGAGCCGCGGGAGTGGGCGCGGATATAGTGGGGAGAGGGGGATGGGGAGGGGCAGAGGACAAGGCGGTGGTGGTTGGCGTGGTGGGAGGAGCGCGAGGTCGCTAGCGGCTGAGGAAAGGTGTATTGCGCCGACCCCTACACCTGCCGCGGGTGGTGGAGAGGGAGAGGAAAAGGTGCGGGATAGTAAAGAGGGGCAGGTGGATGCAACTGTTGGTGGGGATGCGGATGGGAGAGCGAGGGAGACAGATCGGAATGAGGAAAACAGCGTGGATAAAAATACGAAAGAGCAGGACACGCCGGCACCTAGGATTTTTGCGGTCAAGGGAGATAGGAGCGGGACTGGCGGTGTGAAAAAGGTAACTGCTGCCGCTAAACGCTACCGATTCGAATACATTATTTATAAATAACAACTGTTGTAACTAACTAAATCGCTTTTTACCTTCCTGCAGCCTAAGCTCACTGAGGACGAACTCACAGAACGCATGAAAGCTGCTAAACTAAAAGCAGCGGAGCGGGCCGCAGCGCACGCCCGCGCGGAAGCCGACGAAGCCTCATTTCTGGAACGTGAGCGCGTCGCCGCCGAAAAACGGCGTGAGGAGATGCAGAACCGCCACGCGATGAACAACGAACGGGAGCGGAATCGGCGACGAAAACTTGAGGCGCAAACCAGGCGTGAGTGGGATGTTGAGAAGTCTGTGGAGGCTTTCGCGTCGACGGCGGGACGCGGCCGTGGTTCGTATCGACGTGGTGCGCATGGCGCTGTTGCTAATGGTGGGACCGCTCCGGCGGCGGATGGTGTGCGGGGGTTTGCAGAAGATTCGTTAATAGAGCATGAGAGTGGGGGATATTTTCGCGGGAGAGGAAGCGGGCGCGGGAACCCGCGTCGCGCAAGAGGTGGAAGGGGCCGTGGGGATTATTTTGCTAGACAAATGTCCGGGGCCCCATCTGGGCCTGACGTTGAGAAGTGGGTCGAAGGCGTGTCGCCTTCACATCACCCTCTTGAGCCTCCTCGCGTTAACGAGGAAGACGAGTTCCCTGCGCTGCCGACTGCATCCGGTGGAAGTGGGAGCGGAAATAGGAATGGCCATGCGAATTCGAATGGTAAGGAAGGTGTTGCTACACCACTTTCACCTCAGGGGTCGTGGGCGGAGCAGGTGGAGATGACCCAGGCACAGCAGGAAGAGCAACAACAGTCATTGCAAGCGACATTATCATCCATGACATTAGAGGGGAAAAGAGAGGGTAATTCGTAAGGGAAAATTGGTTTTTTGGTGTAGTTTCTTTGTGTAGACTTATAATTTGGCCTATGTATGTGCTTTTCGTATATTTGGACGGCTTCCCCCTTCTTGCTGGTAACTCGAGACGGACCTGACCACGCCCACAACCTACAAACCCCTTATTTTGCTCTTTTTGGAGTATTCTTAATCAAGTCAAAAATTTCCTGCAGTTTTTGGGCCATTTGGCTTTTTTATTATTTTTATTTGCCCTTGTTTTTCATTTTCTTTGCTTACGGATGATCCTTATCGTCTTTTTAAACCATTTTGCAGCTACCACTTGTACTGTACAGTTCCGGGCGGTATTAATTTGTGCAAAATGATGATTTTTATAGCCTCGGGCCTACGATTGCTTATCTGTTTCACTGTTGATATGCGAATCATTAGACAGATTTGCTGGATCGGAGATCAGCTCAGGTGGCCATACCATTTTATGGGGTATTATTACTCCCTTCGCGTGGATGGGCGGGGATGATAATTACAACCTACAAAACTAGTTATTGTCCGATATATATTATGACAACAAATCAGGTTCAGGGACGGGACCCGATGGGTGGTACAGCAGACATCAATCAGTATGTAAATTCGCAAAATGCAGGATGTTGTTTATTGTCACCGAGCTAGGGTATCAGGAACCAGGTGGTCCAAAGAATAAATGCTGAGCAAGGTAAAACCAAATGAAATATGCATTAATATCGGCAGCAGCGCATACACCCTACTCCACCTTAACCACTTTCCCTCCCAACTTATCCTTCACCGCAACAATACAGCCCAGAATCTTCGCCTTGAGCCCGCTCTCTGGCGCCTCCTCGACAGCGACAAGGCGGCGAACAAGAATATTAAAAATGCTCCCGAACGCCAACGCCATAACAGTGCTGGTCAATATAATCACGTTGTACGGCATGCTGAAATCAGGCGTGGGGAGAGGTAATAGCAGGCTTGTCGTGCGCAGGTAGATTGGCGGTTGTGGCTGTGCCCGCGACTCGCTAGTTTTACCTTGTCCCTCGGCCATGTTCTGATCATCAAGTAATCTGATGACTGCTGGAGCGACGTTGAATCCCCGGTTGGCATCAGGTGGGTATTCGGTATAGCGCAGGATGGCCTTTTCGAAATCGTAAATCAATGTTACAGTTGATGCGGCGGGGACTGAGAGGATGAGCTCGAGTTGCGTGCCACGCTTCCTGTCCAGGGCGGGTCGATAAAATACGTCTTTGATAATCTCGGAGGCAGGAATGGGGACGACCGTGCCATTAAGATTTCTCACTTTTGCTTGAAGAGTGTGTACATAAGGCCTCATGAACCAGGGGAGAGTTTCAAAATAGATGAATTCAACGGCATTGGTCTGCGACGGATTTGCTAAGATCGATCGCATGCCGCCTCTTTCTTGCCCGCGGCCGATTATAGTCCTCTCTGCGTGAAGGACAGGCTGCTCCAGTGGTACTTCGGGAGACTGTGATTGAGATGGTAAAACCAGGTCGAAAGGGAAATCATCAAGAAGGGAGTAGCAACGGGAAAGACCGTCAGGAGACTTCCTCTCGATAGCACCGGCAGTCACTAGTACATCCCCGTCGTTGGGAATTTTGGTACACACATGTTGTCTTTTATTTTCTTCTTCTTCTGTCAGAGGGCATCCGCCTGGAATGTTACGACCAAACACCTCTGATAAGCGCCAGCCCTGGTCTGCACTTTTGCCGACTGGGTAGCACGTATCATGTGAGTTGTATGGCTTGGATTGGTCGCAGACGAGCTCTTCGGCGGGAACAGGGCGTGGAATAGGATTGTCTACAAGATTTTAGTTCACAGGACATATGGAAGGGATCAGAGCTGCGACTAAATACCAGCACTCACCTCTTGGTCGCTTCGCTCTCTCCACATCCAAAACCAAATCTACAGTTTGCTCAATTTCAACCTGGCATCCATCTGTGTCATCTGGACATGTGGGTCGAACGTCAATTGACATGCTCTGCCACGATGCATCAAATAGTCTATGACCATCAAGCAAACTCGAAATTCCCGCTTTCCCTTTACAGGGAAGCAATTTGAGGAACGGCGTCAAGTTCTCGGTACAGACGACCTCGCCGGGCAGTGTCCCATGCAGCAGATGCAGAGGTCTCGACAAGTGATTTCCCATAGGTTCAAACGTCATTACAGGTCGGGTTGTTCGAGTGGAATCAATGAAGTTTAAGGATGCGCAGAAAAGGCCGGACAAGGATTGAGTCAGAGTGATCCATTTGGAATACGCACTATTAGAATCAGGATAATTGTTAGTTGCAATTATATATATTAGCCTTGCTGCGGATTGTCCCAAGTCTCACGATTCATCAGTATCTGCATCTATCCATGCCCAAAGTTCAACGCCTGTGCCGCCTTCTTTAAAACCACGCCACGGCCGCTCGCCCCAGCTCTCTGCATCCCATCTCCCAGTCGTGAATCTCAAATGCAACTCTTTAGTGCTTGCATGCTGAAGGATTTGTCCTAAGGAGCGCGGAAAATATCGGAAATTCTGGTGCTCGAAAGTATCTAGTGACGCATTGCTGCGAAAATTAAATGATCCTAAGAGAGATGAAGGTGGTAGAGGCCGGAGGACTAGCTGTTCATGGTACTCGGCTGCATGAGAAATAGTTGGCGACAGCGCTGCAAGAAAGATGCAAAGGAAAAAGAGAGGATTGAAAATCATGCCGTCATATTGTAAGAGACCAACAACGCAGTTTGGTTTGCGAGATACCTCTACTCAATGAACGATGAAGACGGCGAAACGCTGAGTTGCATATGCATTTGTATATGTCGTCGTCGTCGTTGTCGTTGTCGTTGTCGTTTTCTTGTTGCACACTTGAGAATTATATCATGTGACCAAATGGGCTTAACTACCAACGCGCCAATAATTTCACCAGCGTAGCGCGATAGGCGACCGAACAAGAACAAGAAAGCTGGTTCAAAGGTGGTCCGTATGCCCTTGGAGACCGCGAACACAGCGGGCGAAACTCGAAAGTAGGCTATCCTGACCATTCATGCTGGCAATCACTCACAGAGACACTGCCTGTCCAATACCAAATCCCTCCTGTCGTTGAAATACAGATATCAATCCTGTTTTCAACCATGGCGGCGGAACAGAGGAAGCTGCTTGAGCAGCTTATGGGTGGTACGTTCCCCCTCATACGGGGCCATCTTGTTATTGAGAAATGTTTTCGAATCAGCATGAGAAACTAATTTATATAGCGGAGCAAATGGTCGGCTTCGGCGGCTCGCGCAATTCCCAGCTTGCAATAACTGACCCCAAAGTTTGCCGCTCATATATTGTCGGCACATGTCCTCATGACCTCTTCACAAATACCAAACAAGACCTAGGTCCGTGTCCAAAGGTCCATAATGAGGGGCTAAAAGCGGAGTATGAGGCTGCATCGGCGCATGAGAAGTCAAAATGGGGCTTCGAATATGATTACCTCCGAGACATTCAGAAATACGTCGACGACTGCAACCGGAGGATTGATTCGGCGCAGCGACGATTAGAGAAGACTCCAGATGAGATTCGTCAGACAAATAATTTGGTATGTCATTTCCACCTTTTTATTATCATTGGTTACGTCTCCTTGAGATCCAGTCTCTCCGCAACGTGAAATCTATTCTGTTCGGCTGATTATATTCCCTAACTAATTAAACACATCCCTCTCACGCAGCTAAAACAAATATCCGACCTCTCAAAAACAATAAATAACGGCCTCCTCGAGGTCTCAGTTCTCAGCGAAATGGGCTCCGTCTCAACCGCTTTCAACGAGTTCCACAAAGTCCGCACCGCGAAACACCAAAAAGAATCCTGTGAACGCGAACTCAAAGCGCTCGCCGATACCTCAGGACCCTCGGGCCATCAGAAGCTACAAGTTTGCGACGTATGCGGCGCGTATCTCAGTCGTCTAGATAACGATCGTCGCCTGGCAGATCACTTCTTCGGCAAAATGCACCTGGGCTATGCGAAAATGCGCGAGACTTTTGCTGTCTTGCAAAAGGAGTTGAAGGGCCCACCGCCCTCCAGACATGACGATGGACCCTCCGCCCGCGGTGACTATGATAATGAGGGCGGGTGGGGATCTAGAGCGGGTGGAGGTCGAGGACCCTATCGGACTGGCTGTGGAGGTGGTGGATATAGAGGGTACAAGGGTAGAGGAGGCGGAGGCTATGGGGGACGGTGGTAGAGAAGGCCTACTGTTACATCTATATACTTTTATATGTGAGGCGCGGGAGAATTTGCATAGCGCTGGCGTTAGTGGGTTTGCTCTTGGAATTAGGCGAGGTTTTATATAGTTTGTTCTCTATCTTGATGCGAAGAAACCTATATCCAAATGCTGTACTCCGTAAACCTAACTAAGAAAAAAAAAAAATTTTTTTTTTTGTGTCTTTTTATTACATATATATATATGGTGGATCAAGTGGATGCTCATTTAAAACATAGTCTTCCCAGAATCTGATGAAATGATGAATGCCACAGCCTCATTTATAAATAAAGGGTCTTGATAGTTTTAATTATTAGAAGTGAATGAAAAGGATAATTACCCGTTTGTTTGAAAACGAGCTATGTAAGTGGAGTATAAGGCAAGTAAAAGTAGTAGCAAAAATATTTGTTAATTATTTACATGAGAGAAATAACACATGGACATGGATTGCCAGCCAACTGAATTGTGGGAACACAGTGGGTGATAGCAAAGCATGGGGATGAAAGGGTTTGGAAGGGAACATAAAAGAGGGCAGGGAAGGAAAGGGAAAAAAGATAGCGCAACTACGATACGTTTTTAACTCCCATGTCCCGGAGGAATAGCAAGAAAGCTGGCTGAACTGGAAGCGCAGAAGGGTAGCTACAAATTGAAGGTTTGAAGCAGGAGTTGGAAACAAGGGTTGGATAGACAGTTAATGAAACGTTTATCAAGAAAAATACCAGCAACTCATCAGAAACTTTTGAAAATAATTCAAGTAAGTAACTAACCAATATAATAGCGATGTATGGGGAAATAGTGAAAAGGAGGGATGGAATAGGGCCAATTGAGGAAAATTGTGCCACAATTTCTCCCTTTCAAGAGCTAAATAAAAATTGAGAAGAGGAAAGGAAGAAGTAGAACATAGAAAGTAAAATAAGCATTCCTTCCATTTTTAGTACAGCTAGAGGAAAAATACAAAATCCCTTATTTGCAAGTAACTGCAGCAATTTACACAGGAGACGAATCAGCAAACAAAAAATAGGAAACTGGCGTAATGAGGATAAGAGGAAAAATTCAAGTCGGGACTCGGGAGGGGGCTAGGTCAATAACACAAATTTCACTGCGCCTTCCCATTGATATTCTCAACGATCTTGCTCACTAACAACTGATAATCATTTGCCGCAGCAGGGTTCTGAGCCAGGATACCCGCAATGAGTTTGAGCTGCTCCACATCTGAATTGGGTGCTTGCTGCAATAGCTGTACTACCGCTGGAGAGGCCGCTAGTGGCCCGAGCACTTGTACTGCGGCAGACTTGCCGAGAGGATTTTGCGGTGGGGACGAGGTGTGGTAGGCTGGGTTGTATTGATGGGGTTGTGGTTGTGGCTTTGGTTGTTGTTGTTGGTTGAGACCATCTGTTGTTACCATGCGGGGGGAAGGCGATGCCAATGCCGTCGTGGGAACGACGGGAGGCGTACCGCTCGACGTGGCCGGACCAGAAATGAATTGGGAATAGTGGGGAGCGGAGCTTGGGGTGACCGTCAAGGGACTGGCGGTGGCATAGGCAGGTTCTTGCAGTGTCGGATGGCCAATGGGTGGGCTGTAGTGGTTGTTCGTTTTTACGACGAAGACGACAAGAAGTGTTCGTTCTGGCGTCGGGTCTTCGAGGGTGTTGTTCTCTAGCAGTTCAATGAATTCGGGTTTCTTGCTTTGGCCAGCTTCGATGGGGATGATATATGTGTCCTTCACTGCATGGAAGGGGTGTTTACCGATGACGCCGAATCGGTTGCGCTGCAGGAAATATTCGAATAGCCTTTGGAATTGCGCATTGTCGTGTGGGGCGATTGGGGGAGATATGGCATTAACGGATACATCGGTCGTTTGACTGAAGCGGAGACCGCAGAGGTAGTTCGTGGCGAGTTGCGTTTCGATACGGCCATCGACCACCAACGTGGGGGGGATTAATTGTTCCCACGGGATTCTTCCGCTCAGGTCTGCTCCAGCAACATGCCTTGCAGTGGCAGAGAATTCAGCAACGGGGTTCATGGATACTTTGCCACGCCAAATTTCACCTTCACTCTGGAAGTCCTTTGGAGAGTAAGGAGGGGAATCGATATCCTCGTCTTTAAGCAACTGATCTATCTCTGCATCGGCTTGGACTTTGTGACTCGGCTGTACATCCTGAAGAGATGGAGCAGAAGCAGGAGGAAATGGCTTATCATGAGGTGCTGAACCAGGTGATTGGACGTTCGACCAGACGTTTTGGATATTGAAGTTTGAGGCCGAGGCTCGTCGCTGGTCCCCAGCTGAGGGATCGATGGAGTGTAGCAGGTGATCGTCAGCTGTTCGATCTACTGAGCCACGGTATTCTCTGAACTCAGGCTGATGTGACATGCTTGGGCTGGCTGGTCGAGCTCCTGTAGGGCTTGTAGTAGATCGAAGGTCGGCCTCATGTAGGGTGTCGCGGCGAGTTGGCGCCGCTGAGAAGATAGATTCGGTTGCAGCATGCTGTGAATCATCTTCGATCAACTCCTCCCCTTTATGTGTACGTCTGATTCGGGGCCCTTGTTCTTGGATAATCATATGCTGCCTCTCGGCCTCTCGCTTGATTTCATCATCCTTCTGTCGTAACTCCTTGCTAGCCATGTCTTGGGTGCTCATGGTGGCAAGTGTGTCTGGAGAAATACTTCCTACAAGCAAACTATCACGTAACGAAGTATTCTTCCTCACATTGAATAGGATGGTCCGCATCTGTTGCTTATAGGCTTCACTAGGTTCTCCACTTCCTCCACAGAGATGTTTATACATGGAATGTTCAATTGCAACTCCCAGTGCTTCGCCAACAGCTTCTTTAGTCTTTCCAGCAGGCATCGAATAAGCGCCTTGCTGCAGGGCCGATGCTGCCTGTTCTACGAAGAGTTTGACTAGGGCATTCGCCACATTCCTCCTGGCCAGGCTCTGAAGGTCTGACGGGCCTCCAGTTCCCTCAGTGGGTGACCTTCCACTTTTCTGTTCCCGAACAGATTGCACACTAGATACGCTCTGCTTCCTGTGCACAGTCGGTGACTTCACCTCAGGACTTTCGATTTGGCGGCCAGTAGACAATCGCTGAAGTTTCTGCTTTGGTCCCTGAGAATAATCTTAGCATAATGGTAGGTCAAAGCATAATGGAGGAAGTACATACCGGTTCACGTTGGCTAACTTCCTGCTCGTCGAATTTGCGTTTTTGGCTGCTAGGAGGACCATCGTTGGGGAACGCTCCCTGGGACTGCGGAATGACTTTATTGCCGGTTGGCTGAGCAGAGACGGGAATCTCTTTTGCTGGTGTTCCAGAGGCACTTTTGACACCATCATCACCCCCTTCAGATTTGATATCGCTAGGCCGGGTGGATTTCCTCCCACGCTTGCCGCCTTTCTTTCTCCGTGCCTTTTTCTCCTCTGCAGCCAGGGCTCTTATCCTCGCAGCTTCCTCCCAGGGTTTCTCGCCATGAGCCATTTTATCCAGCAGCTCCTTATGATTTTCCGGCTTACATTGTTCACAAAAATATTCTGCAGGTTCCTGTCCCTTCGGGAAAGTAAGCCCCATGCAATCGTTGTGTTGCCACGCAGAGCACTTGTCGCAGCATATCATATCCCGCTCAACGTCTTCCTCCTCTTCATATTCACCACAAATGCAACGGATTATCTCGTCCTCTTCTTCGTTGGGGGCAGGGGTCTGTTCGTCGGAAGCTTGTTTCTGGGCTTTGGCCTGCGTCTTCCCTTTGCGTTTCGAGGGTGCCAACTCTGATAAATCGTTGTTTTTAGAATGCTGGCCTTTTGTTGCTCTGCCCGAGCGCCGTGGTTCTTCTGTTTGATTAGTTAGCAGTGAGTTCCGTATGCCACGATGTAGACTGTTGAATACGCGGATTTGCCATCTCCCGTTCCAATGGGGTTGGGAGGGACCAAAATATTTAAACGCTGGGATACGATTATGCTTACCGGCCATGGTGAAATAGCTGACACGCCAGAAATATAAAATAGACTACAGTAGATAGAAGACTTGCTGAGAAGGTTTGAATTTTTGCCTGAGTTTTGCGAAGCCAATGGAAAAATACTAGTCTTGCCTCCTCTACGGCATCGACAGGAACTAGTAATACAACGGATAACGGAAGAGGAGAGGGATAGCCACTCTTTTTCCTTGTGTATGTTTCTGCCACGCGGAAATTACTTCCCCATTCAACCGTTGAACAAAATGTGCGTTGTTGGTTTGTTGCTCCAAAAACAGATTCACGCGTACAATCTCCTTGATCTGGAAATCCGGGGAAGCTAGAAATTCACCTATTCTTCCCAATCTCAGACTGTGGATGATACCAGACAGATAACCATCCCGCAATCGACTTGCGAAGCTTCTATCGAACAGCTGGTGATATCTCGGAACACTAGATTGATGGAGTTGAGATGCACAAATCGATGTTGTGGATCTTGTTGTAGAATTGCGACGTCGCGATGAGGAGATTGGGAAGAAGAGAGATTGCGCTAGACCGTAAATAGAAATAATAATCACGTGATATGCATGTGACGAAATTTCGATTTGAGCTTGATGCTAATGCAAATTAGGAATAGTTCAATATCACCGGCGGACCGACACGGTGACGTCGCGAACCTTGCTGTTGCATAATGTTATTGATGCTCTATCCGGAATCTCTACGGTACTACAGATACCAAATGTTCATACTTCCTTCTATTATCTAAAAATTATATCCATTCCACGTTTTAGATCCTAAGCTACGGACCATCCCGTCATGGCAGATATTCGGGCATTACTCCGAAACGAGTTGGCATCTCGTCGAGCCACTGATTCAAATAACTCTTCTAAAGCCAGACCGGTTAAAAAAAGAAAACTTGAACCAGAATTTCGGGGTGACGGGCATAAAAAGCCAAAAACCACCCAGGAGCAAATTACGCAGGAAAAAGTGTGCCAGCAGGTTCAATCTGTTGAAGATGAAGAACATGATGATCCATCAATAATAGACGAAGCCGCGCAGCTTGAGCAAGAGCAAACATCCGAGCTTTCACCACAACCTACAACGGCCCTTCCTTCAGAACCAGCCGAATCGCAACCACGATCACAACCACGAACCATCGACGAAGATGAGTGGGCCGCGTTTGAACGAGAGGTTGCCGCACCCACAAAAATAATACCTGCTGCTCCCAGTCATGCCACGATATCCGCCGGGCCCCTTTCTGCGGCTGAGCTGGCACAGCGCGAGAAGCTGGATAAGCAGGTGCAGATGCGAGTGCATGAGCAGGAAGCATCGCTTGAGAAGGAAGATGCGGCGAGGTTGTTGGAGGAGGAATTTGAGGAAATGGATGAACTTGAGGAGAGGGTTAGGCGGTTGAAAGAAATGAGAGACGAGATTCGGAGGAGGGGAGTTACAAGGGAGGGAGCTGGGGTTGGGGTTGGGGTTCTCGAGGGTGAAGATCAGAGCGAGGAGATGACAGGGCAGGAGGTAAGGGAAGGTGGTGGGGCTGGGGAAGATGAGGACGAGGTGGATGAGGATGAAGATGAGGATTGGGATAGTTGGAGATATAGATAACTGGAATATCAGATGCAAATGACCCATTAGGTTAAAGGTCTACAGGGCGATAAAGTTTTAATAAGTGTAATATACGCATATGATACCTTTTTTTTTTCCCAGCGCGTTTTGGATATGTTCTCGTCTCGAGATATACTGGTGATTTAATTGGCATTTTCCAACCAAATATAACATAGGTATATGCATGTAGATGTTGTCTAACCATCATTATCATCAGAGAGAACTTGAGCTGCCATCTTCGGCTCCATATGACTTTTCAATCCCTCCTTGCCAACCCGCATCGCCATTGCCAACTCCGCTTCTCCTTGACGTAACATATCCCTGCCATGCATCAATGCACCCCTTTGCTTCCGCTTTTGCTCTTGCACCAATAACTCCCGTTCGGCAAATGCCTTTTCCCGTTTCTCCCGCTCAGCCCGACGTTTATCGCGTGCTGCTCGTTCCTCAGCAGATATATTATCCGGCTCGGGTGAGGGGGACAGAGTTAATATGTATGCTTGAATTAGCGAATCGCGAACGTTGGGTGCCAATGAGATATATCGTAGGTCCGCGAGGATACTAGCAGGAAGCGTATCCGGCGTCGACGATCTGTTCAGCTCGTGGATGGGTATGGACTTGAGAAGGGTGGAAAGGTCCGATTTTCGAGTACTTTCGGATAATTTAAGGCGTGATACATGGTCCCGGTAGAGCTTTTCCCGGTCTTTATCTGATAACTTATTATCCTTCATTTCTGGTTCCTTTCTATATTTACGTTTGAACTCTGGCCAGTATAATTTCGGTGTGGCATATTCCTGTAGGAAAGCAAGGAAGCGGATTCGGGGATCTTTCTTTTCTTCCTTTTCTCGTCGTTCTTTCAAGTCTTGTATCCGATCGCGGCTCCAGTCGGTCCAGGCCTCACGGCGCGATCTCATATTGGGCATTATCGTGTATCTGGAGTCGTCAATGATTTTACCCTCTTCAATTAGCTTCTCCCATGGCATGTAAGGGTTTATCCGGAAATCATCGAGTAGGTCGCGGAACAATGCCACTGAGTCCTCTGCTGTGAGTGGGAGACCCTCTGCGCCGTCCTCCCATCCCTCCTCACCCGGCTCTCCATATTCTCCAGGGTCCAATCCGTATTCCTCACCCATGGCTGCAAGCTGATATTCGATATCACCTTCATTGAATTCGATGGGTCCGGTCTCGCTGGCTTCTTTATCGGTTCCCTCCCTTTTGTATGGTTTAGTCCCCTCCTCGCCCTCTTCGTCCGTTACCTCGACCTCTTCATACTCATCGCTATCCTCTTCCTCCCTAGGTTCATTCCGACCGACAGAGGGTAATTGCTCGCGTTCCTGTGACACACTTCCAGGAACCCCCGCTTCTGGTTGCTCTTCTCCACTTGGTTCACCCCGCTCACCCCGCTCTGTTCTTTCCCGTTCGAGACGATCATACTCGACAACCCCTTTCAATACATCCGGTGGGAATTTCCAGAAGCTGTCGTTAGTATCCGGGTTATGAACAAATCGACGACCTAATTTTGTTTTCACGAGAAGCCACGGATGGCAACCGGGGATCGCGTGCTTGGACTTTGGCCTGTCCTCTGGGTGGCGAGGTCGTCTATCATGATGTCGCCTGTTCCCGGCACTATCTCTGCGAGATTTATCGAAGTGACCTGCTATATTGAAGGGCATGGGTCCGTAGTGCGACTGATGCGCGAACTCTGGAATCGGGACACCGGTAAAAGCCGCTGGGAAACCAAATGGCGGCTGAGCTGGTGCTCCTTCATGCGGAGAATCTGAGGGAAGTGGAGCTGGTCTCTTATATGTTGACTGCTTTGTTTGGGCATTGTAGTAATAGGAATGGCCTTTTTATAATTAGCGCTTTGCCGCAAAATAACCACCCAGGGAGTCGGAAACAAGAGGTTACCTGATGGAGCCTTGTGCTCAGTCCATCCGGGTGGCAGTGGACTTAAAGCGGAATAGGTAGATTTGAGCATCTTAGCCGCTGCCTCTAAATTACGTGTATATGATAAGAAGCATTATATGTAAGACCACTATGAATTATACTATATAATTATAGATGATTGCTGTGGTTGTTGTTACCGGGAGGTTGTTGAGGGTGAGCCAAGGAAAAACGATACAATTGGTCCAAGCTCAGTTAGTGGTTGGACGCGAAGGAGCCAGTTTGCCTGGACGAAGCCCAGCTCCTCCAACACCTTTTATTTACAATAGACAACTTCCCTCGACAGGCTACTAGCGTTTGATATAGGATAAATCGCACATCTTTCTTTGAAATCCAAATAGAGTCCAGCGAAAATGTCCAGAAGATATGATTCCAGAGTCAGTGTTCTGTCTGCATCTGTCGAATCGGTGGTCCTCTGCTAACCCACTCTATTACTTGTAGACCACGATCTTTTCGCCGGAAGGCCGTCTGTACCAGGTTGAATATGCCCTCGAAGCAATTTCACATGCCGGAACTGCCCTTGGAATACTAGCGCAGGATGGAATCGTGCTGGCCGCAGAGAGGAAGGTCACGAGCAAACTACTGGAACAGGACACATCTGCGGAGAAGCTCTATATACTGAATGAGTACGGTTGAACTTCCTACATTTCTACCACTATGTAGCAAAAAGAACCAACGGACCAAAATAACTAACCTATCTCGCAGTAATATGATATGTGCGGTGGCTGGAATGACAGCAGATGCCAACATCCTCATCAACTATGCGCGCCAAGCCGCCCAACGCTACCTCCTGACATACAACGAAGAGATCCCATGTGAGCAGCTCGTTCGTCGTCTCTGCGATCTGAAACAGGGCTATACACAGCACGGTGGTCTGCGACCCTTTGGCGTTTCTTTCATATACGCCGGGTATGATCCCCTCCGGCAGTTCCAGCTGTACCAGAGTAACCCCAGTGGGAACTACGGTGGATGGAAGGCGACTAGTGTCGGTGCAAACAACGCCAGCGCTCAGAGTCTATTAAAGCAGGACTATAAAGAAGATTGCGATTTGAAGGAAGTTTGTGGGATGGCGGTGAAGGTGCTGAGCAAGACGATGGACTCGACGAAGCTGAGCAGTGAGAAAAGTGAGTTTGAACTTCATAAATTGGTTATTCCTTTTTCTTGCCCAAATCTATCTATTTGTTCATATTCCACAAGTTCAATGCTAAAGCACTTCTTCGTCTATATATAGTCGAATTTGCGACTGTGGGAAAAACCAAGGATGGTCAAATATATCACCATTTGTGGGGTGCTGATGAGATCGATGCTTTGTTACGGGAGCATGGCCTGGCAAAGGAAGCTGATCAAGAAACCGGGTAGAACAAAAATGGAGGGTACATATTGACAGTTGCTGGGATAAACCCTCTAACACCGAATACGAAAAGCTCCTGGTGTTAAACTTTATGTCCTAGTCTAAGCTGCCCGTTAATCAACCGATAGTTTTTCTAAGTCTAGTATTTTTTCCATCTCATGGCCACAAGCCATGTATTTATCTCCAATCCTGGGCATGTAACTTCTAAATTAGCCGATTTTATTTGTAGATATAACATATTGCATCTCATAAAATCCAATCTGAGGATCTGGTGGGAAAAGAATAGATGCACTGCGATCCCATCCCTTCCAAGCGTATTGGAAGACGGCGCTTACATTCCGCGATAGGAGCGCGGCTACTCCAGTACTGAGGACTACGCGGTGCGCAGGAAGCTTACGTCCCGCACCCCTCTGGATTTCAACCTCATCTGTTGGCATCAAACAACATCAACCAACTCTCATTACTGATATCACACTCTCGTCACTCCCGATACCACCATTTTCGCTCATTTATCCGACTATGTTTATGTTATATACCTTTCCTACGTCTAACCTTGTCTCTCCGTTACCTTTTTCGCGCTAGCGGGGCGAAATTTATTGAACCATTGGGCGACAAAGCAGCTCCCCTCCTGGTCACCTCGCTCAGATGATACAGGGCGCTTAATGGTTGGATTCATAAATAGTGTGGGCAGAATGCGAAAAACTTATAAATTCATTGGCAAACAAGAGCCCTTAATCAAAGGGACCCAAACGCTAAGCCCGAATACTGAATGCCGATATCCTCAACCATGTCCTCCACCAACCGCCGCCCATTTTTTCCCCAACACATAACCTAACGGAATAACCATCAAATGAAAATCAAATAAAAGAGACCCGAAATCATTAGAACCAAGTGGATGTTATGAAATAACAGTGATCATGAACCATGAAGTGTGATAACAAAAGGTAATGAGTAATCATATCTTTTTTTTTTAAAAAAAATAAAAAAACACCTGGGACATTCCATCATGTCGCCTACGACTGGTGTTCCCGGCGCCTCTTTTCGTCAGCCAGTTTACTTTCCAATGTTTTTCTGTTTCATCAACCTCTCATACTCCAACTGCCGGATCTCCTCCTCTAGCGCCCTGATCTCAGCACTGCTTTTTTCCATTGACGCCTTGAGTGTGCCACCCTCCCGCTGCCACCGTGCGAGCCTTTCGATCTCTGTGTTTCGTCGGCGGCATTTGGTGTCGATTTTCTCACACAGTTTACATTGCGTTTGGATATTTTCGGTGCTGTGAACAAGTTTCATGCCGCAAGTCTCGCCCATTCGATATTCATGGTTGCACCGGGCGGCGAAACTACCCCATGCCCAGTCTCCGCAGGAGAATTTCTTCTGGTTATAAAAGCACATGGCTTTGAAACAAGTCAGCTAGCAGTCAACCATAAGTCTTCCTTCTTACATACCGACTTATGTTCTCCTTGACTGTTTCAGGACACCGACTGGTTTCTATTGGGCGTGGGGTTGGATCCTTTCTGAAGACCAGGAACGATAGGCTGAACCTTGTTTGTTGAAGGAATTTGAAACAAATAGAGGAAGAGCTTGTTTAGGAATGTACTATCGTGCTTGACTTTTGACCTTGCAAGTGTAATGAAATTGGTTGGAACTGGAGCTGTGCTGGAAAAAACTGAGTATCCTGGGGTTTGTCTGGGTATTTATGTTTGGACTCAGTGCAGATTCCTTCTTGCCAAAGCCTTTCATCGATACTTTCATCCACACATTGCCGATCAAATTTGTCGATATCTGCGTGTCTGCCGTCCTAGAGAGTTTTCCTTCAACATTTTACCCCCAACCTGTTCCTGGTCCCCACTAGCCAGGGTACATGACCTTGAAAAAGCGGAGCTCCACTTCAAAGAATTCCTTTCATGGCTCTTTCCGACGCTGCAAGGTGATATCGGGTTTGCCTTTGTTGGGCAACGAATGCATACTTGCTCGACATGGTTGTCGTGGCATTGTGATCTACCGTCATCATCCAACTTCTTTTTCCTACCCCTCCTGTTTGGAATCTCCTCCTGTTATCCGATTGAGGGTGGCGTTTTGACCCCTGGACAGCTCATACTTTTTTCCTGTCAAGAACCTTGGTTGCCTGTACTTCCCCGCTCTTTGCCTTTCATCGAATCTCACTTCGATGTTGATGCGTATACTATCTACGGCAGGAGCCTCGTTGTATCAGCCACCTCCTATCACCTGTGGATACTTCCTTGATGGTGACCACATCCTTTGACGTTCACGAGATTTACCTTGATATTCGGAACTACGGTAGGCTGAACCTAGCGGTCTGGGCTCGGTGTAACTTTGGCCCTTCACGCCCAATCATCCCAATTGATATCCCTCCAGATATTTTACTTCAATATTCGATTAACTTGAAAAGGGAATATCCACTTAGGAGGTGAAAGTGCCAATGCGAATTTTTCCGTGACATTCATCCTCCATGCAAGAAACTTGTTCTGCAACCCAACTCACACATTTCGTTTCCATTGGATCATTGGCACTTTTGTTTGTGATATCCTCCAACCTCCTGCAGGGT